AGTATAATATTTTTTACCTTATTTATAAATTCTAAAGAATTTTTAACTGAAAAACTAGGCTGCTGAAGTGGCAAGTTATTGAATTCGTTAGTTAACCATTTTGAAACCTTTGAAGTTGGAGCGTCAATTGCTGAAACAATTGGACGGACTGACTTTCCAGGTTTGTGAATTTTAGGAAGACAAGAAGAAGAATAATATGACCCGTTTGACCTATTTAATTTGGGTGATCCAACTTAAGTTAAAAAAATAAACTTGACCCAATAGCGTTTTATGGAATGGAAAAATTTTAAAGTTAATTTTTTTTTTTGATTTTTTCGAGATTTTGGTCGATTTTTGGAACCCGGAGCAGTCTATTGCTAATAACTCCGGACCTATTGGTAATAACCTCTTATATTTGGTACTGTTGGAAAGAGAATTTAATTTTCATGTCTCAGATTCAATTTAAACCTCTCTTATCCGATAGATTTTGACGAATTTGCCAAGATTTTGTGCTATCTCTTTAAGTTCCGCCGTAAAAAAATTAAAAATTCAAATTTTTTTTGCGAGATATTGACTTGAGCTTTGATATATTTTTTACGCTGATTACGATGGTGTTGGACTTTTTGTGATAACTGTAATAGTTTCGCGGACTTTTAAAAAATGAAGATTATACAGAACACTGTTACAGTTTTTGGTCGGTATCACCTGTTGTGCTACCAACCGAGAGAGAACCCGTCTGTTTAAAAAATTAAAATTTGAAGCGGAAAGTTCTATTTTACACCTAAAATTAAGCTTTTCGTTTAAAGAAAAACACCTCGTTATGCTCGTTATCCGGCGAACACTATTACAGTTTTTGGTTGGATAAGCGGTTGTGCTACCGTCCGTGAGAGAGCGCGCCAATCTTAAAAGTCGGATTCAGCGCGGGAAATTCTATTTTAAACCCGAAATCGAGCTTTTAACATGAAAAATGCCTTCCCTCGATGCAAGAAGAGTATAAATGAGCGGTTTGTAGTATAGCGTGTCTAAAAATAGTGCAGCACATGTGCGTTTGAAACCACTAATATGCCAACGCTTCTCGGTCATTAGTGAGTCTTTAGCTAATAGCCTAACACCGCTTCATGTCAAAATAACGTATTAATCAACACGGAAAGTACTCTTTAAAGAGGGTTGAAAAAAAGGCTTTTAGTTATTTAGGTATCGATTTACGCCAAAATAAATTTGTTAATGTCGCGCTTTAATTAGCTAATATATCTAATTAAGCTGTCAATTAGCATTATGTATTTTTTTGTGACGCTTGTGCTGATTGAAATCTGTCATAATTATGTAACGAGAGTTGCTGCAAGATCACAAAGAACGAGATAATTTTTCATTTGGCGAAATGTCATTTATTGAAATAAATTAGAAAAGGTGTGCCCGAGTTATTGGCGTTTGCACGCCTTGAAATCAGGGCCACACGCCAGACAAGGATGCGTCGATGCGCAATTCTATGTGGTAGAAAAGGAGGGGAGATAACAGACTAGTTCAAATAATATAATAATAGTGGTCTCATGCGACGTTGCCGCTAATTACCGGCTAATTAAGAACAAAGTGAAAACGTCCCGAAACAAAAGCAAAACGTTGCGAGACAGACAGTCATATAATATCTCACTTCCTTTCTCTTTGGTTGAAGAGTTCTCGCTTCGCGGTCGCGATCCAACCGCTCCATTAATTAGTCATTAGTACAGAGACGGACACATGTCGTGCGTTTTGAGCATCCGAATGCAAATTCTCGTCGTTCTTCGTTGTCGAAATGCGAGCTTTGAAAGCAGGGCCGTAACCAGGATTTTATTTCGGGGTGACCCAGGGGTTCGTACACGCTCTATAACTTTTTTTCTATCCAAGTTATTTGCAAAAATCTCATAAATTT